TAAGCCTCTCACTAGCATCATCATTGATGTCTTAACTTATAAATAGCTATTCCTTATGACTCAGGTCACCTCATAGGAACCAGAGCTCTGAGACAGGCTGAGGCGTGTGTTTCCAAATGACCTTGAGAGACCTGCCAATGTCACACCTGTACTGACATCTGCTCTCCATTCAGGTTGTTCCAAAGTGATTAGTAATGGGGGAGAGGTCAGGAATTGATTCCTGGTTTCCACAATGACATCTCTGTTCTGCTCAGCTCCTGACTTCTAAGATGACTGAGATGAGATGCATCTGGTTCACACTTCTGCCTCTGTACATGACAACACCCAGGTACTCAGCTGGCATGCATGAGTGTAGGTGTGTGATGTGTGAGTAGCATGCTTGCTGATTAAAGAATAGGGCTCTGTGACTTAGGCTTCAAGACAATATTAACATCATGGCTAACTAGCAGTTGACATACTTAGGGTTTTCAGCTATCAAGGTGTTTCCTATAACTAAAACAAAGGTAAATTTTCTCCGTCATATAGAATATAAGTGAACACTGAGAGTTCTAAGCAAGAAGAAATTCAAATGAAAAATTTCCTTCATTAGAGTAAATACATTGTTGATATAGAGATTTTTATTGCTTTGCTTTGTTAAACTATTTCACAATTACAGACCATGAAACAATACTCTCACAAGTACATTCAGATTTTTTAGTTCATTATGTATTTTGTATATTAGCCCTCTATCAGATGTGCAGTTGGTAAAAAAAGAAATCATTTTCCATTCTATAGAATGCCACTTTGTTGAAATGATTGCGTTGTTTGCCCTGCAGAAGCTTGTCAGTTTCATGAGGTCTGGGTGGTTGTTAGGTTGGTCAGTCCCCCAGCTCTCCTTCATTCTCAACACCAGGATGAGCTCTCCTGTGCATTGTATTCAAGGCTATTCCCCACTTTTTCTTCTGTTGGATTTGGTGTATTTAGTTTTATGTTGAGGTCTTTGCTCCATTTGGAGTCCAGTTTTGTGCAGGGTGATAAGTATGGATCTATTTATATTTTTCTACATCAGTGGTTTTCAACTTTCCTAATGCTTTGACCCTTAAACATAATTCCTCATGCTGTGGTGACCCTCAACCATAAAGTCAGTTTTGTTGTTACTTCATAACTACAATTTTGCTACTGTTATGAATCATAATGTAAATATTTTTGAAGATAGAGGTTTGCCAAAGGGGTTGCAACCTATGGTTTGAGAACCACTGTTTTACATGCAGACATCCAAATTGACTGGCACCATTTGTTGAAGATACTTTTTTAAAATTTAACTTTTATTGTTTCTTTGTGGGTTTCACATCATGAATCTCAATCCTAATCATCTCACTGTCCCTTCCTATCTGCTCTCTAACCTTGCACCGCAACTCTCCCCAGGATAAAGCAAGATAAAACTTAAAAGGAAAAAGAAAAGAAAAGCTAAATTTCCTACAAAAGAGAAGCTTCTTGCAGAAGCTGTAACGTGACACAATGAGTCAGTCACACAGTCCTTTAGTCCATATATTGTTGCTTGCAAGTGTTCATTGCATTCATTCATTGGTCTGGTTTGAGGGTTCTGGTTTTTGCTACATCATCAACACTGGGTGGGCCCTCACTGGGGTTCCTCTTGGATATCCTGTTGTTGTTCTGTGTCATGGAGATCCTGTATCTCTGGGTTTGCAGCACCAGCCCCTTCACATGCTCCAGCAGATCATAGATGGGGTAGATGATGTGTCAACTCATAGCTCTGGTTCTGGGTCTGGGTGGTTGCTAGGTTGGTAAACCCATCACTTCTCCATCCTCAATACCAGGGTGAGCTCTTTTCAGTACTGTCCTGGCTAGCTCACCCTATATGGTAAGCAGCAAGAGGCAGGGCCAGTTCTCCTGTTTTCATGTCCTGGGGTCAGCTCACCCACACTTAAGCCACCAGAGCCAGTTCTACTGTGTTGCCTAGTTGAGGTGTTGAGACCACTCTGCCTAGTGCTGCAGCTGGTGAGGGGCAGGGCCAGCTCTCTTGTTCTAGTGACCTCAGGGGCAGTTCTCCAACCTATCATAGGCCTTGAGGAGCATAGGGGCGGGGCTTCTCTCCCTTGCCCACACCACCATGGGGTCGATGAGGGGTGGGACTGAGTCACTCACACTCACCTCCATCAGCAGGGTCAGCTCTATTGTGTTGCCCAGGTGAGGTGCAGGGCCCACTCTCCCTAGTTCTGTATCTGGTGAGGGGGCAGGGTCAGCTCTGTCATCTGCTGCAGGTGACAATTTTATTCCTTTTATTAATATGTCTTTCCCTCTCCCTCACAACCACATGCCAGACAAGGGGTGCAGGACCAGCTCTCCTACTATGAAGACCTCAGGGTAGGCTTACCTGTGCCCTCACCAGCAGAGTCAGCACTACTATGGTGCACCCCAGGTGAGGTTCAGAGCCTGCTTTCCTGAGTGCTGTATGCAGCGAGGGGTCAGGGGCAAGGGGAGCACTTCTCTCCTACCCACACTGCATGACAAATGAGAAGGGGGCTAGCTCTCCCACACTTATGCCCTTGGGGTCGGCTCACCCGCACCATCACCATCAGCATCAGTCAGTTCCACTGAGTTGCCCAGGTAAGGTGCAGGGCCTGCTTTTTGGAGTGCTGCAGTCGGTGAGATGTTGGGCCAGCCAGCTCACTGGTTCTCCTGACCTCAGGGCCAGCTCTCCCACCTGCCACAGGTGGTGAGGGGTTGGGGAGGGAAAGACACCTCCCTTTTGTTCATACCACCATGTGGCGGATGAGGGGCATGGCCAGATCTTCCATGCTCACATTATTGGGGCCAGCTTGTCTGCATCCCTGTCAACAGGGTCAGCTCCAATGCTGACTAGGCGAGGTGTAGAGCCTGCTCTTCCTAATGCTGCACTTGGTGAGAGGCTAGGTCCGCTCTCCTGTCTGCCACAGGTGGCAAGGGGTGGAGGCAAGGAGGTTTGAAGATAATTTTTTCAGTGTATATTTCTTATTTTTTAATAAAAAAAATCAGGTGTCCATAGGTGTGTGAATTTATGCCTGGGTTTTCAATTCTATTCCATCCATTGACATGTCTGTTTTTGTGAAAATGTCATGCTGGTTTTTTGTTTGTTTGTTTTTTGTTTGTATGTTTTTGTTTTTGTTTTCCAGAGCTGAGAACCAAACCCAGGGCCTTGTGCTTGCTAGGCAAGCGCTCTACCACTAAGCTAAATTTCCAACCCCGTCGTGCTGTTTTTAATCACTATAGCTCTGTAGTATAACTTTAAATTAGGAAAGGTGAGCCTTCCAGCAGTTCTTTTATTAAAGATTATTTTAGTTATCCTGTTTGTGCGTGCGTGTGTGTGTGTGTGTGTGTGTGTGTGTGTGTGTGTGTATTTCTATATGAAGCTTAAAATAATCCTTTCAATTTCTATGAAGAATTGTCTTGGAATTTTGATGGGAATTACATTGAATCTGTAAATTCATCCCAGATTCATCCTACCTTTTGGTAAGATGGCTATTTTTACTACATTAATCTGACAGATCCATGAGTATGGGAGAGCTTTCCATATTCTTATATCTTCTTCAGTTTCTTTCCTCAATGTCTTAAAGTTTTTATCATATAAGTCTTTTACTTACTTGGTAAGAGATAACCCAAGATATTTTGAATTATTTGAAGCTATGGTGAAAAGTGTTGTTTCTATGATTTCTTTCTCAGACCATTTGTCATTTTTCTATAGGAGGGATATATATACAACTACTTTGCTGAAAGTGTTTATCAGTTGTGGGAGTTTCCTGGTGGAATTTTTCAGGCAACTTTTGTATACTATCATATCATCTGCAAATAAACATACTTTGACTTCTTCCTTTCCAATTTGTATCCTTGATGTCATTCGGCTGTCTTATTGTTCTAGCTAAGACTTCAAGTCCTATATTAAATAGGTATAGAGAGAGTGGAAAACCTGCCTTCTCCTGATTTCAGTAGAATTGCTTTGAGTTTCTATTTAAGTTGATGTTGGCTATGGCCTCACTGTCTTTATTATATTGAGGTATGCCCATTGAATTCCTATTCCCTCTAGGACTTTTATCAAGAAAGGATGCTAGATTTTGTCAAAGGCCTTCTCTACATCTAACAAGATGATCATATGGATTTTGTCTTTCAGTTTGTTTTTACGGTGGATTATGATCATCTATTTTTGTATACTGAACCACCCATGCATCTCTCTGATGAAGCCTGCTTAGTCAAGGTAGATGATCTTTTTGATGTGTTCAGTTTACAAGCATTTTATTTGAATTTTCACATCTATGTTTATAAGGGAAATTGGTCTGTAATCCTCTTTCTTTATTGGGTCTCTATGTGGTTTTGATATCAGGGTAACTGCAGCCTCATAAAAGAATTTGGACAATGTTCCTTCTGTTTCTGTTTTGTAGAATAATCTGGGGAGTGCTGGAATTAGCTCTTCTTTGAAAGTCAGGTAGAACCCTGCACTGGGGGTTATAGGTCTGCTTAAACTGCTTATCAGATTTTGACTTAGCTTTGGTAAATGGTATACATAGAGAAAATTATCCATTTTTAAAGACTTTCCAGTTTGGTGGAGGACAGGTTATTAAAGCACGCTCTTATGAATCTCTGAATTTCCTCAGTGTCTGTTGCTGCCCCCCTTTTCTTCTCTAGTTTTGTCTACTTTGATTTCTCTCTCTGTCTTTTAGTTAATTTAGGTAAGTATTTATCAAGCTAATTGGCTTTCCCAAAGAAGAAACTACTTATTTCATTAATTCGTTGTATTGCTCTATTTTTTCTCCTATTTCTATGTTAACCCCGAGTTTGATTATTTTGTATTTTCTACTCCTTCTGGACATTATTTATTTTTGTTCTAGAACTTTCAGGTGTTTTGTTAAGATATTAGTATGAGATATCTCCAATTTTTAAAATGTAGGCACTTAGTGCGATGAACTTACCTACTAGGACTACTTTCATTGTGTCCCATATGTATAGATATATTGTGTATTCATTTTTTCCCCAGTGGTAATGAGAATGTTTTATTTTAAGTGGAACATGAAGAATTAAAGTACCACTTTAAGGTTTCAGTTTTGCACTTTGAATATCAAGAAAGCAATTACTTCAAAAATCATAGAAACATGTTGAACTAACTAAGTAGAAAAGAAAGTGGGTATTTAAGTCATTGCATTTATCACCATTAGTGGAAACAGATTCCTGACAACTCCAGTCTACAGACAGCATACTTTATAATATCATTATTCATTTAAAACACTACAAATGTTTATAAAGAAAATTTGAATTTTACAATTGCTTACAGAATATCTTATAGTATTAAAAACACGGTGATTTATATGAAAATCAATAAAGACAACTTAATCTTTCTCAGCAAAAAAAGATTCAGTATCACAAATTTAATGTGTAAATGTATATATGAATTCAAAAAGGAATACATTTAAACCTCACATTGCCACATAACTACCTATTTTGTAAACTGATAAACACAATGTACTTTTTGGAAACATGTCCATCAAAACCAAAAGGTTAATGTTTACGTTTTCCTTTATTAGCAACGTTTGGTGTGTTTTTCCGTTTTGGTTCCCAGAGCGCGTTTTTGACAAATCTCGAGGCAGCACCTCTGTTCAACTTGGCAGCCTTTTTCTTGTCTGTTATTTCTTTGACTCTGTTCATGTAGACTCTGATTCTTTCCAATTCTTGCTTCACTAGATGTTCCTTCGGATTAACTCCTTGGGTTACCAAATAAACCCAAAACATTGAGTTTAATTTGTATGCAAAGACTAAATCCACTTTGGCTTGCTCCAGTGGGTCCAAATTCTGCAACAACTCATTTCTAGAGACAGGCATCATGGTCTTCAGCATGTCAGCCACAGCACCCAGGGAGCTCTCCCGGTCTGATAAAGATTCATGAATTTCTACCGGATAGTCTTCATTCATTTCTTCACCTGCCATTTCAACAACTCAATACTGTGTTCACTCGTCTCCAGAAAGAGGCACGGTGATGACATCATGACAGCACCTCTGTGTACTCATTTTCATTCAATACTAGAGAGTCTTTAATCTCTTCCTTAATTTCTGTCTTGACCAATTTTTCACTAAGCAATGAGTTGTTCAGTTTCCATGAGTCTGTAAGCTTTCTGTTGTTGTTGATATCCAGCTTTAATTTGTGGCAGTCATATAGGATACATGGTATTATTTCAGTTTTTTGTATATTTGATGAAATTTGTTTTGTGTTCAAGCATGTGGTCAATTTTGGAGAAAGTCCTATGAGTTGCTGAGAAGGAGGTATATTCTTTTGTGTTTGAGTGAAATGTTCTGTAGATATCTGTTAGGTCCACTTGGTTTATAACTAGTAAGTTAGCTCCAGCATTTCTCTGATTAATTTTTGTCTGGATGAGCTGTCTATTTGTGAGAGTGAGGTTTTGAAGTCTCTCACGATCAAGGTGTGAGGGTCAATATATGATCTAAGCTAGTAATATTTATTTTATGGACTTGGGTGCCCTTGTATTGGGTGCATAGGTGTTAAGAATTACAATGTCCTTTTAGATGTAACCAACCATCTTATTAAATAAGAAACACAGAACCAATGTAAAAGAGAAAGCCAAGAGGTCAGAGCTCAGAGCTAAAATCTCACCCTTCCTCCTGTGGTGGTCCTAGCTCCCCGAAAGAGACCTATTTCCTGTGTGTATGTCTTTAAATAATCTTTCTGTTCTGCCTTCTCATTGGTTGTAAACCCAAACACATGACTGCCTCCTCACTGCCTGTAAGTACAGCCCTCTAGGTCTTAAAGGCGTATGTCTCTAATGCTGGCTGTATCCCTGAACACACAGAGATCTATGGGATTAAAGGTGTGCACCATCACAGCCACGCTCTTTCTATGGCTCTAATAGCTCTGACCCCCGGGCAACTTTATTTATTAACATACAATTAAAATCACATTTCAGTACAAATAAAATACCACCATAGGTCTGCTCTGAATTAAAGTGTTTATTTTGCTTTTCTAGGATTCTGCTAATCAGTCTAGGTTTGATTTTTTTTTTTTATTCTTTTTTCCAAGTTCTTTCCTAGGGGTCAGCTGGGAAGCACAGATAAGATTTTGAGTCAGATTCCGTATACTGATCAAGTCACTTAATTTTTCCTCAGCCTCTATTTTTCAGTGATAAAGTGAGTATAATATGACTAGCCTTACTCCAGATTCCTATGCATGTATTGATGAAGTGCCATGTGGCTCGTGGCTTTACCTGTCCTCTAGCATGCCTATTTTCCTGGGCGGCTGGCTAACAACTTCTCAGATTCTACTCTCCTTCTTCACATTGTTCTCTTTTTGGCTTTCCTGCCTAACTTCTTGCCCACTACTAGCCTGTCATCTTTTTATTAACCAATGAGATAATACATATTCACAGTGCACAGAAGGAATATTCCACAGCACAGATATTGTTTAAATTTGGTTTTATCGTGGGATGTCTTTTTTTCTCCATCTATTGTGATTGAAAGTTTTGCTTGGTAGAGTAGCAGTCTGGTCTGACATTTGTGGTCTTTCAGAGTTTGTAGATCATCTTTCCGGCCCCTTCTGGCTTTTAGAGTCTCCGTCGAGAAGTCAGGTGTTTTGTTAGTAGGTCTGCCTTTATATGTTACTTGGCCTTAATCCCTTGTAACTTTCATTGCTCCTTCTTCGTTCTGTATATTTGGTATTTTAATTATTGTGTGCCAAGGGGAAAATCTTTTCTTGATTATTATGTGCTGAGGGATATTTCTCTTCTGGTCTGGTTTATTTAATGTTCTATATTCTTCTTATACCTTGATAGGTGTCTTTATGTTAGGGAAATTTTCCTGGATGTTTTGTGCCAGGAGTTTTTTTAGCTTTAACATTTTCTAGGACTGAGATATCAGTTTCTTTTATCATGTCTTCAGTGCCTGAGATTCTTTCTTTCTTCTCTTGTGTTCTGATGGTAGGACTTAGCTTTAAGGTTCCTGTTCAAGTTTCTAAATTTTTCATTTCCAGATTTCCCTCAGTTTGAGATTTCTTTATTGACTCTGTTTCTACTTTCAGATCTTAAGCTGTTTTATGCATTTCCTTCCATTATTTGTGTTTTCATATATTTATTTAAGAGATTTATTCATTATCTCCTTAAGGGCATCTCTGATATTCATAAAGGCTATTTGAGGTCTTTTTCTCATGCTTCAGCTATGCTGCAGTTCTCAGGGCCTGCTGTGGTAGAGTGGCTGAACTCTAGTGGAGACATATTGTCCTGGTGTATTGATTGTGTCTTTATGCTGCCATCTGGACATTTGGATTTGGAATGGTTGTAATTCTAGGTCCTGATATCTGGTCTTGTCTTGTTAGATGGATTTGCTTTGCTCCTTGATTTTTGTTGCCTTCTCTGGTTCTTAGGAATGTATGGTGGCTGTGTGTTGCCTGGTAGAGAATTTTTCCAGGATCCTGCTTGGTTTAGATAAAACATGTTTGTAGGTATTGAGAGTTGACACTTAGGAATGAGGATTGGTTAGGAGGATGTTGATAGAGTCCACAGGAGGGAGGAAAGCAAAGTGCTTCACCAGGATCTGCTTAAGTCTGTAGATTGCCAAGAGGCCGCAGCAGGTAGTCTGCAACAGAGTCAGGATAAAACTGGCTAGGGGCTGGGGGAGAGGGAGTAGAAAGAGGGAGAGTGAAAATCAAGCTCCCCTACTTGTTTCCCTGGCCTGTTCGAATGGCCAGTTCCTAGGAAGTACATCCTGGTGTTGGGTCCTGGGATAATGGGATAAGGAGTGTGAGAGGAAGAAGGTTTGAGGAGAAGGTCTGAAGGATCCACTGGAGATCGGGACAGAGAGGAAAGGGAGGTCATAGCAGGTGGTCTGTTACAGATATAGATTTAAGACTGGGAGATTAGATTTGGGAGAGAAAGGAAGAGGTAAAGATCTATAGTTAGCCTACTTGAGAACTCAAAAAACTAAACATCAAGATATGAATAACACAAATTGGATTTGTTTTTGTTTATTTGTTTGTTTTAATTTTTTATTTTTTTTTGGTAGGGGAGATCACAAGGGTTAAGGGGTGTACATGGAAGGACTAGGTAGTGCATGTGATTTTGGTGCATGATGTGAAAGTCCCAAAGAATCAATAAAAATATTATGTTAAAAAAGAAACTTCCTTACATGTCTGCCAAAAAAGGAAACAGATAACCTAACTTAAAAATGGGGTACTAAATGGGGTACAGATCTAAACAAAGAATTCTCTAAAGAAGAGGAAACTCGAATAACTGAAAAATGCCAAAAGAAATGTTCAACATCCCTAGTCATCAAGGAAATGCAAATCAAAACTACTTTGAGATTTCATCTTACACCCATCAGAATGGCTAAGATCAATAAAACAAATGGCAGTTCATGCTGGTGAGGATGTGGAGTAAGGGGAACACTGGTTCATTATGGTGGTACTTCAAACCACCATAAGTACCATTATGGTGGTACTTATACAGCCACAATGGAAATCAGTATGGTGGTTCCTCAGGAAGATGAGACTCAATCTCCCTCAAGATCCATCTATACTACCCTTGGAAATATACCTAAAAGATGTTTCATCAACAAAGATGTTGCTCAATCATGTTCACTGCAGCTCTATTCATAATAGTCAGAAATTGGAAGCAACCTAAGTGTCACTCAACAGATGAATGATTAAAGAAAATGTGGTACATTTACACAAGGGAATATTACTCATCTATTAAAAAAGGAAATCATGAAATTCATGGGTAAAAAATAGGAAAAAAAACCCATCCTGTATGAGGTAACCACAACCCAGAAAGACAAATATGTTATGTATTCACTTTTATGTGGATATTAGCTGTTAAATGAATAATAATCAAGCTATAATTGATAGAACTGCAGAAGTTAGGTATGGAGTAAGGGACTTGGGGGGATAGATATATCTCCCTAGGAAAGAGAAATAGAACAGATAGTTACAGATTTAATGGGAGGGTCTGGAATAGAAGGGTCAAGTGAGAAGGGAAGAGGAGCAGGAGGGAGAAGGGAATATGGGAGGGGAAGATATCTAAAATTAAAGGCCATTTGAGGGGTAGTATAGAAACTAAAACAGTATAAGCTTCCTAAAATATATACACATACAAAGACAATCTAAATGAAATCACAAAACAATGGGAGAAGCAGTGCCCCACTGAGCTATCTCTTGTAACCAAATGAAGCTTCTAGTATGGGGGATAGGTTGCATCTAATTGAGTTGTTGGCCAAAGAGGTCCACAGAAATCCCCAAACAAGCCAGCCAAGATTGTAGGTTTCTCTCCACAAAGGCCCCCTTACTGAAGACAACACTTACATGACTCATTGCATATGGAGAGGTTGAGCTGAATGCCTACATAGAATCTTCACCCCTACGTGTAATCTTCCTTAGTACAAGAAGGTATTCTACATGCTATCAAAGGAGAAACATAAATCCCAACCCAGCCTCAGTGCTTTGATCTACAATGATGTCCTGCCTGCAAGATACAATAGGGCAATGGTGGCACAAAGCTCACGGGAATAGTCTGATTTGACTTAAGGTCCACTCCACAAGATGGAACCTACACCTGACACCATTTCAGGGACCAAGAACCTAAGACTAGTATTATCCCCGGGATCTAGGATAGAACTAAATACTAGTGTTCTAAAAGGTAAAAAAGCAAAGCAATAAAATGGCTCCTAATGACATTCTGCTATACTCATAGATCAGTGTCCCACTAAGCCATCATGAGAGGCTTCTCCCTGCAGCAGATGGGAACAAATACAGCAACCCACAGCCATATAATATACAGAGAGTGAGAGTGATGTTGGAACACTAAGCCCTACAACAGGATGTCTCCATCAAATCCCTTCCCTCAGGGCTCAGGAAATCTTAAATAAGAGGTGGTAGGAAGAATATAAAAGCCAGAGGAGATGGAGGGCACCAAGGAAACACGGCCCTCTAAGTCAACAGGATTGAAGAAATTATGAACTCCTCACAGAGACTGAGGCTGCATGCACAGGACTTGCACAGGTCTGCACCAGAGTCCTAGAGCTTGAAGGAGTAGACACATGCCCCCCATTCCAAACTGTGGAACTGTCTCCTATTGATAACCACTTGCAAATGGAAATTTAGTTTTCTCTAGGTCCCACTGGGGAAACAAACTACTCTAAAGGGTAGACTGCATGACCAGAAGTGATGGCCAACAAAAAACAAACTCAATGACTCCTTCCTTGTCTCATAATGTCATGTCAGGACTTTTAAAAATTTTATCTTTTTTATTTTTATTTCAGAACATATATGAACCAAAATATCACATTGTGTCTCATGGTTGTTGATAAATAAGCATCATTTGAAATTGACAAACACCACCAAAGTCATGGAGAAAATTATGGAATTAGATATCTATGCTTCACTAGTATGAAAATAGGTTGATACAATAATCTTGCATGACATGTGATAAATTATTCAACACATATTGCCTTGTGTGCACAAGAATTAAAACATAAAATGAGAGTACTCTTTTGCAGTGTTGGAATATCTGGGACTTTCATCTAAGGCATGAAAAGAATGCCAGGGATGTATAAAAGGTATAAAAACACCCCAGTAGCAAACTAGAAATAGTTAGCTCAGCCAATATTCTTACATCATTTGAAAAGAAAAAAATTGATGAAAAAATAATTGATGACTAGAGGGAGAGCAATGGGGGAGCAAAAGTACAGGATCTTATTGCAGGGTGAATATGATCAAGATTGTTCTATACATGTGAGGAAATGTCATGATGAAATCCATTGGTTTGTATAATTAAAAGTGTTAGTGAAAGGAGAGACTTAAAGATGCATTTTTAGTAGCAACAAAGTACATGTATAGTAATGCATATTATAAACAACTTTTATTCCAGAAAACAAATAATACAGCAATAATGAGAGAGTTATAAACAATGTAATCACATAAGCATCTAATGTTAGAAAAAGTTCCTAGGATGTGGAGCAACAGGCAACTCCTTTACATTAATGGTGTGTAAATTATACTACAGTATATACCACATTGCAAAGTTAAATGGGTGCATGTCCAGAACTCAGGATTTAATTCCTCACCATACTGCCTAAATACCATAGAGAAGGTATCCTATATGTGGACAAGATAAAGGAAAATTATAATGAGGAAAACTGCAAGACAATTGAAAAGGTCATAAGTAGTCCTAGAACTGCTGAAATGCCTATAAGTGTGGTTGGAAGGTAACTATAGCATACAGATAAATATAATATTTTATAAGTGATTCCATAATAGGAAAACAAGTGTGCATCAGGTTCATCAAGCGTACAATGTTTAGAGCCAGGATATGTAAATTATAGCACACATTTTTAAATACCTACCCTGTAAAAGACATTATATTTTAATGAGATGGAGAAGATGGACATTGAGTATATGAAAATGCTTATGTTGTATTTGGTTAATGAGCGAAAATTTAGTCATGTAATAAATATAAGTTTTGAGTATAAATGTCCCATGACAATTTACAAATATCTTAGTGTAACCTAAAAAAATTCAAACCAAGATATTCTAATTTAAAACTTTAATTTTTGTGAATTATCATTAAATAATTTAAAAATCTGATTTTAACATTTTCAGTGAAGGTAATGCTTGCATAACTAATATATACTTTGTGTGAAATGCTACTCATTGAAAACCATTCAGAAAATTCAGCCTTTGAGTGTAGGGAGACATTTTTCTATCTGTTCACTGATGCTTTTCTATTATTTTTTAGATATCAGCATTTACTGATTATTTTATAGTGGGTATAAAATAATTTGACACTTCCATTTTTGCTTTGTTTTTATTATTTGGATTTATTGGAAATTTTATCTAAACAGATATGGGTTCACCAGAATTTTCATAAATATTATTTCTGTTTCTTTTGTGCAGTGAACATAGTTTGTCCAGCCTGGGTCGTGCTTTTTGATTACTTCAAAATTTCATTCTTTACTGGAAATTATTTTTATGTAACATATTGTTTTCCCTTTTAATTTTACTTTTTTAAGTTTAGCTTTTTGTGTCTTATTTATTTATTATTTGGATCTTTTCTGCCCACCCTTCCAGGAGAAGTTAGAGAGGAGAAAGTGTCACCAGAATATATTGTATAATTTTTTAAATTTTTATTTATTAAGCAACTCCCCCAACACATGATACCCCAGTTAACATATTTGATATTACTTCACACAATGGGTGTCTTTCTGAGTAATCTATTCACTCCCTTTGCCTCTGTTCTTGGTTTTGGGGGGTTTTGTTTTTTTTGTTTTGTTTGTTTGTTTGTTTTTTCAGGAATAAGATCTAGTTTTTTCACTTGAAGGAATTGCACTTTACTAGACTGAAAGTCAAAAGGACTTTAAAACAACCCTCCTTATCTGGTCGGATCTGTCGAAGTGAAGTGTTATCCTTGGGTTCCAAAGAAGCAAGGGGCAGGAATAGAATCTAAAGGATTTATCAAGGTCCTTAATTGTGCTTCCGCAACTGCCACCACAGGAAGAGCTGCCGTGGGTCATCCATGACAGATATTATGACGGCACAGGTTAGCCATGGCAGATATCTTGACAATTCTAAACCCCTCTGGCCTCTGTTTGATTTTTGAAGAGTAGACTGGACAGGGTCTCGTCTTCACAGACATTTTAAGTACTAGGTGGTGTGCATTGAGGGCCTCGTGGCTCATGAGCCTGCTTGTTTGGAACTACCCAGTTAGGGGCGCCCTTGTAACAATTCACAGTCAGAATGCAGAGAACAGGACAAGGAGTAGTCTTCAGGGAATGAGCAGATGGGTGTCCTATCCCACCCCTCTGGACCATTCTCTGGAAACCGCGCACCCCGGGGATCCTCCTTCCAGTAAACAGAGTCTGAAGCAGGGAAGGGTGTTCGCAGAGAGCATCAGGAGCTTCCTGTATTGTTCAGATAGGTTAAGATCCTGGACTCCAAAACAGATGGGAATTGTGGGGAATTCCCTGTTTGAGAAGGAGGCATTCTCATGAAGGAGGGGGAAAAATAAATCACACCCAGTCGCTACTGCATGACACTGAGTCAAAGATTCACCAGAGAGCCAAAAGGAAAAGATAGAGAAGTTCACAAGGACCCCATACTTAAGGAGTCCTGGGCCATAAAGGATCTGCTAGTCCCCATAAAAGTGTCTTAGGCCAGCCGGGACTGGAAAAGAACAACAAAGAGACACATTTTCGTCTCCCAAGGTGAGTATTATGTGGTTGCTTATCCTCCCTGGAGGAACTCACCCATGTTAAAACATACGTTTCCCGGACATAGGTTTTCCCAAGTAAGGAAAGAGCCCAGCCTTTGGCATCTGGGCTCACAACATGCTGTCAGTACATTGCTGATGCATAGTTGCCAAGGGAGACCTCTGGGGATGCAAAACAAAGAAGAGTCTGGTAAGGATCGTGGGGGAAGTCTTTATTCCTATGTAACACAGAAGGGAGGCAGTAATCCAGGAACAAATTTAGAACGTCCACAGTTAGACTTCAGTACTGCAGTGATCTGGATGTGCAGGACAGGAGGAGAAGGACAGGACAGCAAGTGGGGCTAGGTCTTCTGAACACGGCTTCCTCTTGCACAGCTCTTCAGGTGTCCTCACAGCCAAAGTCAGCAGCAGCCCCCAGACTGCTGGCTACTGCCGCCACTGCTGCCACAGCAGCCACTGCTGCCACCACTGCTGCCACAGCAGCCACTGCTGCCACCACTGCTGCCACAGCATCCACTGCTGCCACCACTGCTGCCACAGCAGCCACTGCTGCCACCACTGCTGCAACATCCAGAGCTGTGACGATGGTGATGGAGAGATCTGCGGGGTCTGTGGTGGCTCAGGCAGCAGCCACCACCCCCAGAGCTGCAGCAGCCCCCAGAACTGGAGCCACAGCAGCCCCCAGATCCCAGGCTACAGCAGGAAGACACAGGGGGGCACTTGGGAGGACACTTGGGGGGACACTTTGGTGTCTGGCACTTGGGAGGGCACTTGGGGGCGCACTTGGGAGGGGGCTGGCACTGCTGCTGGTTCTGCTGGCAGGACATCTTGGCTGGTGAGTGCTCAGGAGCTGTGGGAGAGTCACACACATGTCAGACCCGAGTTCCAAGACCACCTTGTCTACTCTTGTCTTTTCAGCTTCATTTCTAGTTCCCTCGTAAGTCTTCCAATCAGACACAGGAAAAGCATGTTATGAGGTTTTGATTGTCTTCATTGTTTACTGAGCGCTGTGTTTCAGTACCACAGGCCAAACTCCATTTAGAATGTGTTAAGCAACCGTTTCCTGATATACCAAGGAAGTTAATCACTAAAATCTCCTGAGTGTCCAGTCAGTAAACTCACTCCATCACATCAGCCAAAATTCTGAAAATACTCAAAACAGTTTCAAGTTGAAAAGCTCTTTCAAAAAAGAGCAAAAACGCCCCCTCTAGAGAAATTTCAGAAATACTTGATTTGGCACAAAAGTAGCAAATACTAAGTGCAAAGGGGCCGATTTGTAACCATCAGTTTATACATGAAGAAACTAAAGAGAAGTACCACTGCTGGCCCTGAGATGGTCCCCAGGCAGCCTCTTGAGGTGTTTCCAGACCTGCTGGCTCCCCACCCAAGGCTCCCCACAGCAATCTTCCTGCTGACTAATCAGGCAGCTCTTCTTCCTCCCACCTAATATCAGGGTCCTCAGTGCATCTTTCCACAAAATGAGCATGGCTGACTTTCAAGACTGCATCCCAGTGCCCCCTACATAATCTAGTAACCCACTTTCCACAAAACCAGAGAGACACACCAAACAACAGAATGTAATTGAATTTCTTTGAAAATGTAGCACACATCTCAAATCCTCTTAAATTACAAGTCATTCTCTGCTTTGAAATACCCACTCCCCTACTTCTCCCTCATCACAATTTAATGCTTCTTACAGCATACATGGCCTCCCTCCTGCTCCGACCGGGAGAAGCACCTGCTCCTGTTCTCTGTCCACTTACCTGGTGACACACAGCACAGGCTCTGTAGACACTTCAAGAGGTGAGGAGATGGAAGTATTCTGGCCACCAGCCTTTTTATCCTGCTCTTAAGTTCTTCCCTCAGCACGTGAGACAGGGCTTGGGCATGGAGGGTTGCCTTCTAAGGCCCACGTGACTGTGACAAGTCATGACTGGATGTTCCTCACATGCCACTGTGCACTGGGCTCAGGCTGCCTGCTCCCATCTAGGAATGTGTTTGCTTGATATGGAATGCTTAGAGAGAAGCTATGGATGAGCCATTCCAGAAGGCCTCTTCACCCTTCATTCCAGTGTTTTCCTCCACCCTGGTAATGTGCTAATACTTAAATATTCTGGTCCTCCCAATTCCTTCTTTCTGTCCATGCTAGATAAAAGTAATTATTCATCTAAACCTTTGATTCTAGTGGCTTCATGTGAAAATGCACTTTTGAGGTGTGTGTGTGTGTGTGTGTGTGTGTGTGTGTGTGTGTGTGTAAAGCAGTTACACTACTTGGTGATAATGCTTCTCCCAAGAGCCCATGGACTCCCTAAAAAAAAAAAAAAAAAAAAAAAAAAAAGTCTCAGTACCACGTATGAGAAATGTTTTCTTGAGTTGTCAGTCAGGGGAGTCCAAGAGACCGTCTCTCAAAGCAATGTGGGCTATTACCATTGCCTTTAGTTGCCTTCCAGAATTTGAAGGTACGACGCTGTTCCTGAAGGCATGATGCATTTTGTACACAGGGCTTGGAGGAATCAAGCTGGAGCCCACTTGGAAGCCTCTTCCCAGAGGAGTGGTTTTAATAGTCTCAAAAGTTTCTATGTAAGCTGCCAAGGTAGAGGAACAACTGGTTGTCCTACCCAGCTGTACAGTAACTAGACTGACAAGATATCCACAGTGGTGAAATAGTGGCTTTTTTATCTTGTGGACAACCAATAACTGTCTAATTGGACATAAGGCCCACTCAGTAGGAGGGAAATCATGCTCAGGCTTGTAAACTACCTGTGTCTGGAGAAGCCATAGACCCAAGAGGAGAACCTACTACTGCCAAGTTCCTAAACCAATATAATGTATATCTGTTTTCTAAATAACTTATCCTTTTTTGTGTGATATATATTTTTTATTTTACAATACCATTCAGT